CCTTGCAAAAGACTAGACTCTCTGACATTTGGGGGATCTGGTGTTTATTAAATTGAGAGATTTAAACTGACTGTGATTTGTTCTCAATTTAGGGCAGTGACAGACAAATGCCTGAAGAGTGGGGTGGGTGTGTGTGTGTGTGTGTGTGTGTGTGTGTGTGTGTGTACGCGCGCGCCCGTGTGCATGTGTGCTGTGTTTGTATAGCATCCAGGATCCAGGGATATTTGGGGGAATAAACAGTTTAAAAGTCCAGGCAGCTACAAGTTGGAGAGAAAGGAAAATAAATGCACACTTGAAATCAATTTTACTATAAATCAAGTGGAACGATTGGCCAGAGCGCAGGGGCCCCCCATATTGATGCCACCACATCTGGAGATGCCTGCTCTTACTAAAATGCTTTCAGGAATGAGCCAACAGTTCATCTCAGTCTGTTCATCTCTGAAAGATGGACATGCCACACCCTTAGCGCCCGTGGGTGCCAGGGCTCTCCCGACCATGCTGGTAATAACCATCTGGCCTTCCGCACGCAATTCAAATCCTATTTACCAAACACCTACTGTGTCCCAGGCACTGCTAAGCACTTTAGAAAAATCTCTTTCCATCTTCACAACAATGTGTGAGCTGGGTACTGTCCTAGAACCCAACTTATTTCACTAATTGAAATTCACTGTACCAATTACAGCTCAGAAACGTGAACTGCCTAAGACCCTGGCAAGTGGAAAAGGTGAGGCTTTTAACATAGGTTTCTCTGACTCCTAAATCTGTGTTCTTCCCACCACATCAGGTTTGGGCCCCCAAGCTAGTGCTAGGGGTGATACATGATTAGAGACATAAACTCTGTTCCCCAGGAGATCTGTCTGGCTCAAGCAGTAAACCCTTTAATTCACCAATTTATCTTTCGATTCAGCTCATATTCAAGGAGAACAGGAGAGGATCCAAATATGCACGAGATCAGAAAGTTCCCTATCCTCGTGGAGTCTACACCTACTGGGGGCAGGGACCCAGACAGTCAATGAACGAACAGATAAATGTACTACTAGTTGTAGATGTTGACAGGTGTTAGGAAGGACATAACCAGACCACATTCGTGGAGAATAGGAGCTGACAGTGTCCCACAAGGGAACACATCATTTTGTAAGGTAATGGGCTCCATGTCTCTGGAAGTATTTAATCAAAGGGCGGGCGACCCACAGATGTTCCTGCCACTCTGGGAAGCCAGTGTCGTTGAGGGAAGTAGACATCCATCAGCTGGAGTCCTTGGGACCCGCATTCCACCTGCAGGAGGATGTGACATTCCCTGAAGATATAGGAGGGGTTCCAGAGGAAAGGACTTGGGTTCCTGGTTAGTATTTGTGAAAACTGGGCCCATACCAAGCACGAATCGACTCGAGCTGTACATTATGTTTATACTGTTGAGGGAGAAGCAACAGAAGAGAAGGTATTCAAATGACTGGAGGCGGGGCAGTGGGGTGGGGGATGGGGGCCACACCAAAGTCATCGGCAGTCATGGCAGGAAAGGCGGGAAGCTCCGGGTTCAGGCCGAGGTCAGGCTCCACCAAGATTGTTTGGGGGCCTAATCACTCAACTCTACAGAGTCGAGCCCACGGGAGAACCGCGTCTGATTATCTGCTCACACATCGGGGTCCAGTGCCCCTTTTGGCGCAGACAGGGGAGAAGTGTCCGGTCTGGTCTGGAAACAGTATAGGCACTTAAGGAGCACTTCATCTTAAAAGGGGAACTGTTTTGCTTTTGTCAAACGGGTTAATTTGTCCCAAATGTTAAAAACCCCTCGTCCTCTTGAAAGATCAGCCCGTCTGCAGACTCCGTGTTCAAAGAGCCAGACCAGGGGAGAGCTAAACCGAATACCTCCTCGGGCTCGGCTGGGCCTGTGCGTCCAACCAGCAAGTTCACATTGAGAAGAGATGAATGATTTTCACTTGCAGCCTGAAGAAAAATGTTGGCGGGAGCCAGGTCCAAAATGGCAACATTCTGTAGAACATGGCGTGTCAGTGCGCTGACAGCAATCAGATTCTGGGGTAAAATCACGCCTCTGACTGAGCTTAATGTCGGTGCCCCCGCCCAGTGACAATGTTCTCGGCTCATGACTTTGAAACTAAAGTTAAGAATTCTCAGCGTTTCTGAAAATCCCTTTCTGTACAAAGGAGGAAAAGGAGTATTTCAAATTTTGTAGGTCTGGCAAATTTCCAAGATTTATTAAAACACACACACATAGCACAGAACCAAGGATTTTGCTACACACTTTTTTATGCTTTTTTTTTTTAAGATTTTATTTTAATTCCAGTGAGTTAACATACAGTGTTCTACTCGTGATAATACAGTTTCTCGTGCCATTCTTACAACAACCCAGTGGAGTAGGGACTTGCGAGTATGATTCCCTCCCCCGCATTTTATAGCTAAGAAAACCGGGGCTCCGGGAGATGGAATCGCGCTGCCCGAGATCACACAGATGGCAAATGGGTAGAGCCAGGATTTGAACCAGTTCCATCTCCCTCCCGAGAAGCAGGAAAGTTCTGCCTCCCCAGGGGACACTTGGCAAGGTCTGCAGACATTTTTGGTTGTCACGACCAGGGAGGGTGGATGCTGCTGGCCTCTAGTGGGTGGAAAGGCCAGGGATGCTGCTGCTAAAGCTCCCAACATGCTCCCAGCAGCTCCCCGACCACCAAGACCATCAGGCCCCAAGACTCAGAAACCCTGGTCCAGAAGCTGTGCTGTACATTATCACCCTTCCACTGGGCTCTTCGGTCTTCCTATCAATGCTCTCCCACAGCACAAATCCCTCCAGGGTTTATTTCAACCCCACTGTGCTCCATGTGGGTGTATAAAGCACCACATGCCTTCCCTGCCGTCAGATGAGAAACACACCATCACAGCATCACGCTGTCCTCACCTGGATTTCTCTCTCCTGAGTTGTAACTGGGAGATGCTTTCCTTCTCAGGACAGCGGGCTCACATCCATGTTTTCCCTTCTAATCCTAACAGCAACCTTGTGAAGTGAGGAACCACCTTTTTTTTTTTTTTCTTCCTTTTTTGCAGTGGAGCCTCTGATTTGTCCAAGGTTAACCAGATAAAAAGTCCCAGCAACGAAAGCCACCCATGTAAGCCTCGGTTCCCAGCCCCGTGCACCTCCCCATGGCGGAGCTTCTCAAACTTCAGGATGAATTTGCCTCAACTGTGGGGCCTGTTTCGAGCCTGCTAGCCACACCCCAGAGCTCTGGTTTCAGAGGTCTGCTGCACTGGGCTCCACGAATGGGCCTTTCCGAGATGCCCCCCCAACAGGGTTTTGACACAGTTGTCTCGTGGAACGAAATTTTGACGAAGGCCATACCATATAAGGCTGGATCTGAAGTGTATTTAATCGTAAAAAATAACTGCGAAGATCCTGATTTTGTTTATTTAATAGTGAAATAACCAGACACAAGTGAATGCGCATGTGCACAGACCCTTGAGAAAGAAGGCAGGCGGCTTCTGGGGTCCGTGAGAAGCCACGACAGAGCGGGGTGGCCTGTGTGCCATAGAGATTTGCATTCCCCGGCGGGCTCTGCCTGGTCTTGAGCATTCTCGACCTCTCGAGGCTTTATTCTGTCATCATTTGCTACTCACTGGTAAGAGAGCTAAAATCGTCTGCTTTTTAGAACAGCCACAGCATTAGACGCTGACGTCTGGGACGTACTTAGTAGAGTATGAGGATCCACTCAGCTAGACTCGATGAGCGCTTTTGCTGTTGTTTTCAGTGTTTGCATTGAGTCTGGTCAGCTGGACACGGCGACACAGTGGTGGCGGCGGCCCCCCCTTTGGCAGCGCCAAGCGCGCCCGTAATCCAACAGCAGCTCAGCGAGAGGCAGCCCCGACCTCCTCGCGCATTCCCCCTGCCCGCTGAACCAGAAGCAGCAGCGGCGCAAAAGCATCTGAAATATTTTGAAATTTACAAACACGCCCAGAGCAACAGCCTGTCTTCCCAGCCCTGATGTGAGAGCGCCAGAGTCCCCTTTGCCCTCCTTACTGTTGGTGGGTTTGGGCTGCAAGGGACGCATTCGTGAATAAACTGAGAGATGTCAAACGTGGTCAGGTGATGGCAATTAGAGGCCTCCTTTGTAGTTACGGGATTCTTTCTGTCTGAAAATCCGACCTGAGTCCAGTGCGTTCGGCTCTGCTGGATGGTGGGCGCTTCTCCGAGTCCCGTCACAAAAGGGACCGCACGCAGACCGCAGGGACAGGCGAGGCCTGGAGTCTGATGCAGGGGGCACAGGCTGCAGGGTTCAGGACGTCCGTGGTGACCAGTGAGCTCCTGCCCTGGGCCGGGCACACACCGGACCCGCAACGCCTCACAGTGACGGTGCAGACATGCGCCCTTTCAACAGGACGCCCAGAGTCCGTTGTGGCGTCAAAATCACTGGGAGAGACGGGGGACTCCTGCCAGTGCAACTCAACACTGCCAAGGTCATGAACAACCAGGAAGGGCTGAGGAAGTGTCACAGACCGAAGGAGACCAGGGAGACACGGCAACTAAATGCAATATGGTAGCCTGGACTGCATCCCGGAAAAGAAAGAGGACATTAGCAGGAAAACCGGTGAAATCCCCAGTCTGGGATTGAGCTGACAGTAAGGTACCCATGTCAGTTTCTTCATTTTCATAAATGAACCACAGCGGGTGTTTTAAGTTGCAGGAAGTATTGGAGAAGTAGAATGTTAGCAACAGGGGAGATGGTGTGGGGTATAAGGAACCCTCCACTATCTTCACAACTTTTCTGTCCATCTAAACTACTCCAAAACATTAAGTTTATTAGAAGAAGGAGGAGGGGGAGGGGAGGGGGAGGGGAGGGGAGGGGAGGGAGAGAAGGAGGAGGAGGAGGAGGAGGAGGAGAAGCGAAAGGGGAAGAGGAAGAGGGAGAAGAACTGGATGTTGTGGGAAAAAAAAAATGCATATCTTTTGGTTCTTATATGCTGGTTCAGTGGTTCTACGTTTTACTTCTTAAGTTAGAAGCAACAAAACCGGACTACAGTCGCGGTCCTTTCTGAGGCCTAGATGTTCAGCTTTTCTTCGGTTAAATGAGATGCTATAGGTCTTCGTGACATCAGGTATCACAGATTCCTCCAAAACTTACATTTGTAAGTTTAATTTAGCCAAAAAAGCAGTGGGTGTTCTAGATTGGGGAAACTCATGACTAAATCTTCAGGGAACGATTTTCTGTCCTCTTGGTGCTCCAAATTCAGAATGCCAGGGAGAGCAGAGAACAAGTCACCTGCTTATCCTTCAGTGAGAGAGGGCGAAGCACCTTCCATAATTATCCCATCAAGGCTGACTACAAATTGGGAGGGAGGGGAGAAATTCCCCATGGGGAAGTTAGGATGCTGTTTCTGGAAAGAACAGGAGTAAATTAAATGCCAGGCAGCGCAAGGAGTGGGGCTGAGGAATACGCATTTTAGCAGGAGCCCTCCCTGCCGGGTGATTCTTTTTCATGCGATGGAAGGATCCCACTTGAGAATCACTGGTCTAGCGTGGCGGACAGATGCCGGTCATGATACAACACAGATGCTATTTGTCTTCTAAGGAAAGCAGAAAATGTAATAGGAGCCCAAAGAGAGAGAGAGGGAGAGACCGACTTTGACCACAGAGATGAGGGAAGGCACTATGGAAAACATGGCAGTGAGCTGGGTCCTGAAATATGGGTAAGATTTCAGAGGGTGGAGAATGGCAGTATGAGAAGTTCTTTATTCATATTTTCCCTTTGAAATAAAAAAAAATCAGTGCTCTCTTCGGCAGCACATATACTGAAATAAAAAAAATCAGACCAAAGGAGAAAAGGAACTACTGGGGCCCAGTGTGGCTAGGCTGTGGGGTGCAGGGGGAGAGGCGTGAAGAGCAGCCGGTTCCAGCAGGAGAAGGGCCTCTATCCTACCAGGGGCTGCTTGAGGGACCTTCGACACCCAGAGCAATGAATATGAGGCTCCCTGCTCAAAAACCTCCGGTCCCCCCGGTGCCTGGGCAGTCTACAAACTCCCTGAGAACCTGCGAGGTGAGCCTCGGTGCAGGGAGCTGAGGAGGAATGAAGGTGGAGTGGGTCAGGGGACATACAATGGAGACCTGAACCACAGTTGCCCTGGGAATGGAAAGTTGGTGAGATTTGGCAGAATAAAGACGGCAGAACTTGGGACTTGAGGGGACATGAGCAGGATATTTCTGACTTCTACTCGGAGGACCAGGTGAATGGGGTGTACTTGTGGTATGGAGCTGCACGTGGCTTTGGGGTCCCGGAGGCCTGTTGACTGAGGAGGGGGCCCTCGCCTTCACATTCCACAGGTGATGTCACCAGCACGGGGGGCCAGGATGGTCGTCCAGATGAATGGGGAGACCACCACAATGGTGCTGAGTTTTAAGTCTAAAGAGTGAAGCAAATACAAACTTTAAAGACTGCTCAGTGAGGTCTATTGCCAAAACCATCACACTCCTCCATAGGAAAAAGGTTAAGGAAAAAGGTCAAGAAATGAAGACTGTGAGTAGTATGTCCTGTTAGCTCCATTTTATGCAATTGATGATCCCTTCAGGTAGCCACAGGCATGGACATTTGGCTTAAAGACCAGACCGAAACTCATGGAAACGCCTGGGAGATTGAAGTTTGATTGACTGCGAGAATGGAGAAATGACCTGAAATAGGGAAGTAGGGGGAAGGACTGGACTGTGGAATAGACTTCCAATTAGTTACCACACAAGGGGAGGAGCTAAATTTGCTCCCTGGTCTGCATCTGCCAGCCGCATTCGCTCCTTCAAGATCTATTTATCAAGTGCCTCTATTAGAAACTATGGTTGCAAGGGGCACCTGGGTGGCGTGGTTGGCTGCGCGTCTGACTCTCGCTTTCAGCTCAGGTCATGATCTTGGGGTCATTAGACTGAGCCTTGCGTTGGGCTCCATGCTCAGCATGGAGTCTGCTTGAGTTTGTCTCTCCTTTCCCCTCTGCCTTTCCCCCTACCCGGATTATAAATAAAGTAAAAAAAAAAAAAACAAAAAACACCTGTGGATGCAAAACCCCTGCTCTTGTAGGACATAGATTCAAGGAGGCAATCAGACACAATGCAAATAAATGAATATACAATATGATGCTGGGCTGTTTCTAGAAAGAAAGGGAATAAGGGGTAGGCACAGCAAAGGAAGGCATTTGGTAGGCAGGCATAGAGATTTTTGGTCATATTGAGTTTTTGGCTTCTGATTCAGGACTTCAAACTTTGCCAAATATAAGAGAATGATAATCAGATTACGTAGAATACAAATTGTGGATTCACCAGATAGAGTTTGGACCATGAGGGGATCATTTTCTGATGAGTGAGAACCATGGAGAGCAGCCTAGTCAGCTGGAATCAGAAAGACGTGGGTTTCAGTCTCAGCAACTCTACTCTGTGACCCTGTGCAAGTTACTTAACCTCTCTGAACCGTGGGGGGCTTTGTAGAAACTATACACGAATACATCTTTGAAAGTCTGTGCTAAGGATTAGGAATAATTTACATAAAGTGGTAGTATAGATCCTCTTGTAGATGGTCACACAAGTTGTCCAAAGAGGTAGAAATTTGTTTCCTCTCCTGGACAATCACTCTGAAAACCCAGCCAGCACGGTCTACTTTCCCTCTTGACAACTTAAATCAAATTGAATGCATGGAGATGATTCATATTAATAATGTTACCCCAAAGAAGCTGTTGATTACTTCCTGCTATCTCATCCTATAAAAAGTCCCGGTTCCTGTGCTTGCAGAAATGACTGTCCAATTCCAACTTCAATCCTATGAGCTAACCCACATATTTTTATTGATTACCCAGAGAAGTTTCAGTGACTTGCTTCTAAAATGCCTTACTGAGTCACCTAATATTAGCAGTAGTATTTGTATTCTTAATATGGAATATGATACTTATTACATATTATTAGTATCAGTGTTAACATCTTTCTTACAAATAAAAATCTTAACTGGGCCCTAGGTTTGAGGATGACGGAAAGAGGGGTGAGACTGTACATTGTAATAGATACTAAATTCTCCCCCCCACCACCACCCCCAGATCCCTGATAGTTGGGGAAACACCACATGCTTTGTCTAAAATGCACAGGATGTTTTACCAAGATCCTAGTCTAGAGAAGACACCTATGTGGACTGTTTTCCTGCTTGCCACAATGGCTGCTAAAAAAAAAAAAAAAAAAAAAAAAAAAAATCTTGGATCTGGTTGCCCGTCTCCGAAGTGCAGAGCTCAGAGGGGTCTAAGTGAGACATTAAATCCCAGAGGTGCAGGGGTGCTAAGATAGGGCCCTTGTAGATCAGTGGACTACCCTGTGTTTCTCAAACAGGAGTAGACACAGGCTAAAATTTGATTATACTGCATCCTACTGCTGGGCAAATTCTACTTGGTGGTTGTTATGTTAGATTAGGATAAACATAAACATACATGGATTTTTGTGGTCTTGTGTTCATCCTTAAGAAATTTAGCTCTTAAGTTCAGCTGGCTCAAGCTCCATCTCCAGCTGTTTGGAGTTGACTCCAACACATTCTATAGATGGGAACACTGAGGAGGCCCTTGGCCAGGGTCATGCAGTGAGCAAATAGTGGGGCCAGTCCTGGAACAAGTTCTCATACTTTTCCAACCCCATTAAGGAGGAAAGAGGTAAGTAGCAGGAGAAAATGTGGCTTTGGTTTCCCTTTGTTTTAAATCAAGGGTAATTTTTTTTCCAGAAGTATTCTTGGGTTTTTGAGCCGTAGTTTTGGGGAGGTAAACTTATCCTGTGAGTTGTGTTTTTCTCCCCAGGCTGGCTTTTTTCCATTCAAATCCCTGTCCATGGCCAAGGAAGGGCGGCACAGGGTGGATCTTATTTAATGTACCTAAAACCACCATTTATTTATCAAGGCCTGCTGGTTTGCTGGGCTCAGTTGAAGCTTCTGTCACTTTTGCTACAAAAAAATATCTTGAAACAGGCTTTGGTGGTAGAAATCTGAGTCATCAAAAATCATTCTAAATAAGATCTGTTATCTATTGGGCGGCCCACGATGAGAGCTCCCTGAATTCCCTTTCACACAGCTCCCTCCCCACCCCTGAAACACCAACCCATCAAAACCCCCACCACGATGTGTCAGTATTAAATATTGAGGACAACCCTTGGAGGCATGTTGGTGTATTTCCTTCATGCTTTATTATGTGCATCTTTGCACAACAGTTTTGATTATACATACGTATAAACATTTTCTAAGTTGTCCACATAGTATTTCCTAAGAACTTTGCTATGTTATTATGAACTCTTCATAGGTGTTTTTTTTAAGATTTCATTTATTTATTTATTTGAGAGAAAGAATGAGAGAGAGAGAGAGAGAGAGCACATGAGAGGGGGGAGGGTCAGAGGGAGAAGCAGACTCCCTGCCGAGCAGGGAGCCCGATGCGGGACTCGATCCCGGGACTCCAGGATCATGACCTGAGCCAAAGGCAGTTGCCCAACCAACTGAGCCACCCAGGCGCCCTTCATAGGTGTTATTTAGGAGAGCTACACAGTCACTAAATCATCGCCTGGTTGTGGGTAATTGAGATCATTTCCTTTTTTTGGTAATTAATAATTAATAAATATGGGCGTCTTTCTTTTCCTAACCTTTCAGGTAGATTACTGAAAACAGAATAGCTGATCTATCAGACGCCTTGTAATGTCTGAATGTGGTCGTATTATTTTATTTGAGCCAGCCTTGGGGAATTGCACTGAAGAAAAAAAAGACTCTTTGCCAGTTGATATATAGAATGTAACAGTTTACGTATATTATCTTCCCTTCCCTCCTGAAGTTGAACTCCTCTCCAGGTTCTCCAACTAGTTGCATCTCTTCTTTGGTGAAATACCTTTACATTTCTTTTGTCATTCTGTTTTGCAAGGCCCTTCCTAAAGACTACTTCTCCCATTAGGGGCCTTCACATCCCTGCAGCATAAAATAATCCCTCTCCCTCTCTGCAGGGCTGGATTCCAAGAGGACAACAGTCAAGTCGAAATAATTATGCGAGACTGTATAGAAGCACTTGGGTATAGTATTCTCTATCCATCTAGAGAGATCACTAAGCTTTGCTCCCCAGAC